CCCCCAATGAATTTTTTTTCTATACAGGCAGAAGTAAAGGTTCCCTGATTTCCTGTTTCAAGGCACCTACTGACAGGAATCTCTCGCTACAAGTGCAGAAACTGGTCTAGCACACCCTGCGTATCATAGAACAGTAGAACTGGAAGGGGCCTCAAGAGGCCATCAAGTCCAGTCCCCTGCCCTCACAGCAGGACCAAGCACCATCTAGATCATTGCTGATAAAAGGTTAACAAACCTGCTCTTAAGTATCTCCAATGATGGAGATTCCACAATTTCTCTAGGCAATTTATTCCAGTGCTTAACCACACTGATAGGGCGTGTTTCCTAGTATCCAACCTAAGCCTCCTTGCTGCAATTGGAGCCCATTGTTTCTTGTTCCGTCATCAGAGATTGAGAACAATTTTTCTCTCTCCTCCTTGTAACACCCTTTTAGTATTTGAAAGCTGCTCTCATGTCGCCTCGGTCTTCTCTTTTCTAAACTAAACAAACCCAGGTCTTTCAGACTTCCCTTACCGGTCATGTTTTCTAGACCAGTGGTTCCCAGCCTTTTTTTATACCATGGACTGGCAAGCCCATTCACAAACTTTTTGCAGACGGATAACATTTTATTTGCATATTCATTATGCAAATAATGAATATGCAAATGTTACATGGACTGGCAAGCCCATTCACAAACTTTTTGCAGACGGATAACATTTTATTTGCATATTCATTATGCAAATAATGAATATGCAAATGTTAGTGGTCCACCTAGCTGCAGCCAAGTCCCTTGCTCCCCAGTGCCTAACACCTTTTGATCTCCCATCCCTGTGCCCTTTGACCCTTTAACATCTGACCCTACCTCTCAAGCCAACACCCACTTGCCCTGTGACCCCAACACACTCTCACCCAACACCCCTTTGCTCCACCCCACCCTCACGCTCCCCAGAGTGAGGTCGCCCCCCCTGTTACTGCCATGTGTGGGGTGGAGTGCTCCCTCCTCCTCCATGCCTTCTCCCTCCCCAAGCCCGTCTTGCACCACCATGGGTTGCAGGGGAGCGCGGAGCCCCGGCCATTACTGAGGAGAGAGAGAGAGAGAGAGAGGCGCCTCCTGCCGCTGCCTCACTCCCAGCACAAAAATCAGCCACCACGGCTGCCAGAACTGAGCCACTGTTCTCTGGACTGTCTCCAATTTCTCCCTCTGTCCTGAAATGTGTTGCCCAGAACTGGACCCAGTTCTTCAGTTCCAATCAGCATGGAGTAGAGGGGAAAGAATGATTTCTCCTGTCTTACTCGCACTGTGAACCCATATTGAAGTTGGCTGTCCCAAGGGGGAAGTAGGAAGTACGTGTTTGAAGAATTGGGTTCTAGGTGGCGCCTTGCATTGCTGACTGTCCTCTCTCCCGTTTGTGTCCAGGACGGGCTCTATGAGTGCATCCTGTGTGCCTGCTGTAGTACCAGCTGCCCCAGTTACTGGTGGAATGGAGACAAATACCTGGGCCCTGCAGTGCTTATGCAGGTAAGAAGCAGGTGATTGCCATGCAGGGGTGGTGTGGTGTTGTTTGATAAAGCAAGGTTATTGCAAGCCCATACGCAAGAATTTCTGTGGGGGTGTGTGAGCCATGGGAGGGGCTGGTGGCTGCGCCATCCCCGGCCTCACTTCTGGGAGGCTGGGGCAACGCACTGCTCCTGCCTTCCCGGAGCTGACTGGAGCACAGGGGGGGAGAGGCTGGGGTAATGCACCCCCCAGCCTCACACTTACTGGGAGAACCTGGGGAGGGGGTGTTCGCATCCCCCCCCACACACACACAAACACACACACACGGGCTTGGATTGGGTTGCTTTCTGGCACTCTGTGTTTTTCTGAAGCCAGTGGAAATGTGTAACGTAGCACAGTAATGCCTTTAATTCAGGGCATGTTGTTTACTCAGAAATCAAGAGCTGGGGGATATAGAACATAACCTGAAATACATTAAATAATTGTGAGAAGTCAGTAGCCCCACATGGGTATGTACCTTGCACTAATCCTGTTTAATTCACTCCCAGTGAGTATTGGTTATCCAAGACAGACTTGTTGTGATTAGTGTGAGCTGGGTACAATACACGTGTTATGTGACACTACTGAGGGGTTAGGTAATACAATTTTTCATTATCTAACAGCCTAAGAGCAGTAAGGCACAATAAGAAAGGATCCTGCTTTTCCACTGCTGCTTGCCCTTCCGGATGGTGCACACTAAGGATATGAAGGATTAGTCGCTTCCCCCCCACACCTTGCTGCCTCTATCAGAAAGGGGCAGCAAGGGAGGGGGAGGAGAATGGGTAGTTCAAAGTAGCAGCGCTGCGTGAGATCTGGGGCCAGACCCCGGGCTTCACACGGTGGTGCTGCTGCTTTGAAACACCATAAGCAGCCCAGGGCCAGCTGAGGTGTCCCCAGGCTCCCCGCGGTGTTTCAAAGCAGCAGTGCTGCATGGAGCCAGGTCAGTGGGGGAGTCCCCAGCTGATCCTGGGCTGCACGTGGCACTGCCGCTTTGAAATACCACAAGGAACCTGATGCCGGGCTCCTCACAGCGTTTCAAAACGGCAGCACCACACGGAGCCCAGGGTCAGCGGAGTCCCCAGCTGACCCTGGGCTCCACATGGCGCTTTCACCTTTTGAAGTGTAGCAACAGCTCTAGGGTTGTTGCTACATTTCAAAGGTAGAGGCGCCCTATCGACTAATCGAATAGTCGATGCAAAATGCATTGATTGTTTGAGTAGTCAGTTCCTTGCAATTTAACATCCCAAATACACCCAGACTAATTGGATCGTGTTCTTTACTGTCCTATTGAATATAATACATTTGGGGAGAGAGAGGGGCTGAGCACAAGACAGAAAGCCAGGGATTTCCAAGTTCCAGTCCCAGCTCTGAGACTCCATCTGTCACCATGGTCTTTGTGTGTCATTTTTTCTTCCTCAGTTTCCTTGCCTGTTGTATTAAAATGACTGTAATACTCAAGTACCTCACATTGGTGTTCCGAGCAAATAACTCTTTATAAAGTGCCTTGAAGGCAAAAAGTGCTGAGTGGGTTTTATTACAAACTAACATCTTTATTTTTTATTACATTTTCATTTTCCTTACATCTGTCACGCTAATACATTAAGCATGGTGCACTGGCAGAGAGAGAAAATTAATCGCTGTTCCATTGATGAAATCTCACATTAGCTATTAGGGATGTAGGCAAGTAGCCTAGGCTTATCGGGCAGTCGAGTTGATTATTTGCCCCCCACCCTTGTTGCCTCTGTATCAGAGACAGCAAGGGCTGGGGGGGCAACGGGAGCCGGCTTAAAAGATTTTCCCCTCCTCCTCTTCTCCCCCCTCCCCCCCAGCTGCCCCTGACAGAGTGTGCCAGGCTCTTACTACTCTTACACTCCCGCTGGCTTCAGCAACCCCTGTCCGCAGGGCGTCCCAGCTCCCTCCTGGGACCCCCTGCAGAGAGGTGTTGCTGCTGAAGTAGCTTCTGTCTGCAGTGAGTAGAGGCTACTCCAGCAGCAGCCTTCTCTGTGTCTCTCTTCTCCCTCCCTCCCCCCCTCCATGCACACACCCCACTGCCTGTGCACCTGGCTTTTACTATATTTAAATTGCAGAGCTGCAGCAGTGGTAGCTTGTGGACCTGGCATGAGGCAAAACTGAGGAAGCCTTCCCTTATCAACTAATGTAGTCAATAAAAATTTATTGACTACATGATTAGTGGATTAACTGCCTCTTAACATCCTTATTAGCTATTACAACAATTTCCAAGTATTTTAACTAATTCAAGTTACAAATTGCACCCAGGATTTGACTTAAAGAAGCAGCTGGATTTTGGCAATGTTTTAAAAGAAGTGATTTAGACTCAGAACTCAGGGCCTTAAGTAAAATCATGCTTTTGGTATGTATATTTAATCTATTGTTTTTTCCAAGTATGGAAGGATACAGCATGCCCAATATGCTTTGCTTTCCAGGCATATCGCTGGATGATTGACTCCAGAGATGACTACACAGAAGAACGTCTGGCACAACTTGAGGATCCATTTTCCCTCTACCGCTGTCATACTATCATGAACTGCACGAAGACTTGCCCCAAGGTATGTATCCCTCTGTGATAGCCGGTATCCCTATTTTCATCCCTTTTTCAAGACAGATGTATTTTGTATAACTATAAACTATGCCCTGTGAGGTATCATTTGAAAACTCAGAATTTATTGATAAAATATGTGGGGCAACATTGTGTCAAGTTATAGGATTCTCTAGTATAACATTTACTAAACACGTTCCAAATGTGAGGGAACCAGTTCCCCAGAAACAAAAGTTTAGCCGACGTCTCAGCCAGGTGTTCATAGATCTGATGCAATACGGCTTAAGTGGCCCTTCTTTGGCAGGAAAGAGGATGTGGGTGCAAATCTACGTCTTGACAAAGAAACAGCTGGGGTGTTCTTCTCCACACAGATCTCTTGAACCTCAGCTGCAGATGATTCTCAAAGCAGAGAAAGAACTATAAAAAGAGAGAACACATGCCTTCCTTTCTCACTACCCACAGCTGGGGGGGGGAGCAAGTCTCTTGGCCAACGTTTGTGAAGTGCTGGGGATTGTCTTTAGAAACACATACACCCCCTTAGCATGAGGCCTCATTACCACCCTCTCACCCCAAGGGGAAAAAACCAGGAAAGAGTCTATTAGCTCCAGAAAGTCTTGAAAGGCCACTTTGAGGGGATACTTACATGCTACAAAATCCCATACCTTTCCGTTCGATTTGGTACAGTTAGTCTCTGAGACTTAGCCTGATGAGATAATAGCAGTCTATCACGTGGTTTTAAATAGTGATGTTAGACCATCAAGAGCAATAGATTTATTCACTGAATAATCATCTATTCAGATGCCTGAGTTTCAGGGTATCACTGAAGTGCTTGTGTTTCAGAGACAGAATAAAGATTGCATCAGCTATGTCTGGCAAACAAAATGCAGGGGGAGCCGGTTATAAGGGCAAATTTAGGTAGCTCCCAGCTTGGCCATTATAACATACAGATTGCTACATTCAGAACCTTGGGAATGCATTTTTTCCAGTCAGACCTGTGCGTAAAGGAAAGCCTCCGTCATGCAGTGACGTAGTGAGTTGTCATGGCAGAAAATCAAATTTGAAAGGGCTCAGGCTCTCCTGAAAAGAGTGTTATTCCTTAACTCTTCGTGGGTTACATCTCAAAAGCTGTGCCATCCTTCCTTGCTCTTTAGAAGCAACTTCTTTGCTGTTTTCAATCAGTTCCTTTAAAACTGAAAGCTCGCTGTCTAGAAGGCACAAAGCAAATGCCTGCTCCGGGAGTACACAACTCTTGAAAGTAAAATTCTCCAGGATCATCCATCTCTACAAGTGCTGATCACTAAAACTCAGTGCTTCTGGGTGTATTCAGTTATGATTCCAAGGTTACCTTTATGGATGACGTCTACAGCATAGAGGTAGCCACTTACGTTTGGAGCTTGACGTGAGCTGATGTAGTGTCATTGAAGTCTGCGTTCAGCAGAAAATTGTGTGTGTTTGCCTGCGTGTGAGAGTTGCATGGACAGACGTTATAGTGAAGCAGCACATCATGGGCTTTGCATTTCTTACCAGACTATACAGACTTATTTAATAAGTACCATGTTCCAGACGTAATCCTGGGCTTTCCCTTGATCATATCTGAATTGTACATGATTAGTTGTCTGGCAGGGTGCTTGTGATTTCCCTTTTATGTTGCGATTAAGCAAACTCGTTTAGTTAGGCAGCACTCCAGGATTATATAAAGGCCTTTCACAGCATGAAATGTAGCTGCACAATAAAGTCCTCTGGAAAACTAACCAGCTAGAAGAAGCGTGATGTGCTCAAATCACTTGTGTTACAGCATGAAGTGCTTTCTGTACTTCCAGTCCCATTTAAGCTATGGCTCTTGCTTTTCTCCTAGTTTTGTTTTGTATGGCTTCCAACAAAGCTTATACATGAGACCATTTTTATTAAGCAAGCACCTGCCTTCGGAACCAAAGTGAAAATACCCCCAAATGTATCAAGTCCAACTCTGCTCCAGCTGTATCAAGAGACCTGATCTCTGAGCAGTTAGAGGTCTTATGTCAGGCCCTTCAGTGGCTGCCTGTCAGGTCTTGTTATATTCAGACCAGAAGATAACAGAAATCTTTGTTTCTTAAAGGACATGGGCTGGTTCTAACAAATACATATTGTGACCTAGGAGCAGGCTACAAACATTTTGAACAAGGGCCCTTTTTTGAAGATTTTATTGGGATCAGGGTTGGTCATCGGTTGCTGAGAGACAGTTGGCTGTGAGCCCACTCATCCTACCCTGACATGGCTCTCTCCCCCTTCCCCTTCCACTCCTTCCCTTGAAAGACAAATTTTGGGGAGGCAGTGAAGCATCTTCTCACATTCTGGGATGCAGAGTCATCCAGAACACTGCCTGTCTTGTCTGGGGCTCACAGCCAGCCTTTCGGAAACAGATGCCCAATCCTGATACCAATCAAATCTTCAAAAAAGGCCCTTGTTCAAATCTGATCATAACTGAGTGGCTCCTCTCTGCACCGTCTCTTGCTAGCAATCAAAAGGAGATAGGGTAGTGGGGCTTGCCGTAGAAGTAGGTGAACTCTGTTATTTTTCCAAAGGAGGAGTGGATTTTTGCACAACACATTCTGCCAACTTCTCTCATTGGGGCTGGGCTGGCCGTGAACTTACAGCACTGACTTATGCTGATGTAAAGAAAACTCCTATTAGGTGTCATTTCAATTTCTCCAGCAACTAACTGTTACGCTTCTCTCTTTAGGGATTGAACCCTGCAAAAGCAATTGCCGAAATCAAGAAAATGATGGCAACTTACAAAGAGAAGGCAGTCAGCGCATAATGCTGTTTCTTACTCCAAAGTGTAAAACGCACATACTGTAGCTGAAGTAATTTATATCTGATTTAGAAGGAAGTTTCCATCAGGGACTTGTTTTCCAGAGATACATGTACAATAAATACTGTAAAGAACAAATAAAATAACTCTGACTTTATTAATATCATTAAACCAACTTCTCTTCCCCATGCCTCCTAATTGAATTGGTAAATTCCAGCTGAAGTCTGAAATAGCTTGGCCTCTGGTGTGCAGTTTATAGGCGTGTTGCAACTCATACTTTACTCCAAGTTTCTGGAATGGGATATGGAGAAGCTGTCGGTTTCCATTTTGACACCAAAGCAAGGTATTAAGCCAAGTGAATGCTGACTCTTTGTTTTTGCTTTCGTGGCCAAGCCTATGCTCAATTGGGAAACATCAACTAACTAGTTACAGCTTGGTTTAAACAGCAACGTGAAACTACAGAGCTATAGAGTTGAAGGCCCAAAGGGGCGAACAGATCATCTGTGCTGACCTCACATCATCCCATATGGACCTCAACAACTGAAATTAGCCTAAGTATCACAGGAGGCTAGACTGTTCTGTGCCACGGAGAGCACAGGAGCGACCCAGGTGCACTACTGCCCAAGGCCCTTGTAATGATGGGGAATGGTTCAGTGAGTTACACCCTGGCAAGTGACTTGCACTCACAAACTGCAGGGGGGGGGGATGAAAATCCCAAATGGTGCCTGCCAATCTGACCTAGTGGAAATTCCTTTGAGTACTTGAGCAAAAACCAGCCAGCTGAGCACCCCAGAAAGAAAATTGTGTGCCTCCTTGGAGCCCCACCACACCCATCTCAAGCCAGGGCCGTCCCTGGTGCTTCAGAGGAAGGGGATTAACAAACCAACAGAATGCTGGGAGGGGAACAAGGAGGGTTCTTTTCCTGACCCCGGGCGGTGGCCAACGGCAGTCCTAAAGCATGATTGTTAGGACAGTAGGACGTGTAGAAGAAAACATTGTCCTCACTCTGCGTTTGTAAGCAACAAGGAGCCAAAGGCAGTTTTATTACGAGCTGCAGCAAGGGAAAAACTGGTTGGGATGGCCCCCCTCCCCTCCGAGGCAGATCTTCGAATACAAGTAATTATGAAGCAGTTTATATATTGTCCATTAGATATAATAACAGTTAGTCTCTTTCCCATTACAAACACCAATGGCTAACAGTTATTTTAGTTCCACCCAGATGCTCCTTATCTCAATGTCCCTGCCAGAGTCAGCATTCTATCCTTATCTCCATATGGAGGTGAGAGACAAAGGCAGAGTCTAATTACAGATCTCACGTTGTCAGGCCACAGACTTAGCCTGATTCTTGCTTTCTTGTTAACAAGACCAAGATGGCTGCACACAAATTCCCTTTTCCCTCCACAGATGTAAACTAGAAATGAACCTTGCGGCTGCTGAGCCCTTTCCCCTACCTCATCTCTAACTGGAAGATATGGGGGAAAATCCCAGGGTGGGGGAGGTGTGTTTATGGGCCCATGAGGGTATAATTAGAATGAACAGGTCTGTTCTCAGAAGGAATAGTCTACAAGGGGAGATGATGGAAGCCTCACTGAGTCATTTAATAGGCTTCCTGGCACATTGGGCAAGTAGTGTGCAGAACTGTCCTGGCTGAGTAGAATGGAGTGAGCAGTAACCTCCTGGACTTTTTCACTGAAAAGGGTGGCACAGTCAGCGGAAAAGGGTGTAACAGAACAACGAGATGGATCCCGGAAAAGAGATGCTTGTTACATGGATCTACATATGAAATAGAGATGGCAGGACACATGGACATACGGGGGGTGGGTAAGTGTGTGTGTACATACACATACAGCCTGGTAGCTAAAAGAGTAGAATCAGGAACTGCCTTTGTGTAATTACCCTTGGGCACGCCCATTCCTCTGCATGTGCCTGAATTTCTCATCTGAAAAATGGGGATCATAGAATCCCAGCTCTGGAGGAGACCTCGGGAGTCATCGTATCCTGCCCAAAGCGGGACCCACCCCAACTCAATCATGCCAGCTAGGGCTTTGTCAAGCCGGATCTTAAAAACCCCTAGGCTACATCTACACTGCAGGCTTTTTGTGCAAGAACAGCTGTTCTTGTGCAAAAAATTGCTGGGTGTCAACACTGCACGCGTGTTCTTGCGCAAGTAAATTTACAGTACAGCATCAGAAAACAGGGCTTCTTCCAGAAGACTTATTCCTCTCCCCACGAGGAATAAGCCCTCTTGTGCAAGAGCTCTTCCACAAGAAGGCAGTGTAGACAGGCGACATGATTTTCTTGCACAAGAAACCCCTATGTCTAAAATGGCCAACAGAGCTTTCTTGCACAAGACAGCGTCCACACTGCCATGGGTGCTCTTGCGCAAAAGCACCTGGCAGTGTGGACACGCTTTTGTGGAAGATCTTTTGCACAAGAACTCTTGCACAAAATAGTTCTTGTGCAAGAAGCCTGCAGTTAGAGGTAGCTTAGGGATAGATATTCTACCCCGTCCCGAGGGAACCCCTCCCAGTGCTTCACCACCCTCCTAGGAAAAGAGTTTTTCCTAATATCCAACCTCGACCTCCCCCCACTGGTGCCTGTATGATAACATGCGGGGAAGCCACCAGCTTTGATCCGTCCCCCCACGGGGGCTCAGAATGGGGGCAGGAATTGGGGGACCCTCCTCCTGGCATGCGCTCCTGGCCACAGGCACGAGGGGGAGCCCGGAGCGCTGGACGGACACAGCCACCCATAGCAGCACCGCTGGGCGCATCTGCTGGGGGGGGAGGCGAGGAGAGGAAGAAACTACCGCTCCCAGCCGCCCCTGCGCTGCCAATCCCGCCCCGCTGGCCAGCTGGGTGGCCCGGCCCGGCTGCGGCTCTTTGTGTCGCGGCGCAGAGGCCGGCCGGGCTCGGGTCCCGGAGCGCGCCGCGTGGGATGCGCGCCGCAGGGACCAGGCGCCGCCATGAGCCCAGGTGAGCGGGCCCCGCGGCCGGGAGGGGCGGCTGCAGGGCGGGCGCTGACCCGCTGCTTGTCTTCCCCCCCGCAGAGGAAGGAACTTGCTGGGTAAGAGCCACCGCCGCGGGGGCTGCTCCGGGCACCCCGTGCGCCCACCCCCGGCACTGCCAAGCTGGGGAGCGGGCGAGGGTGCAGGAGCCAGCAAGGGCTCGGGGTGCAGCTGGCGGGATGCCCCTGGGGCGGGGCAGGGGGGGGGGTGACCTTGCACTTGCGAGGGGTCCCTCCCCACCCATCCAGCTGCGCCTGCCCCGCTTGCTGGGGGTGGGGGGCTTTGCTGGGCGCTGGTTGATGTGCAGGCGGTTGTGAGCCTCGGGGCACAAGCCGCGTCTCTCCCCGCCCCAGCGGAGAGGCAGTTTCAATGACACACGTGCCCGGGCCGCCTGTCTCTCGGGTGAGCGTTTGTCTCTGCCCCGCTTTCTTGAGCGGTGCGTGCGGGACATGGCTTGTGCCATGGGAGGTGCCCTGTGCTAGCGAGCAGGCCTCTGGTAGCGGATTCGGGGACAGGAGGGCTCACGCCTCAGCGTGACCTGGGTCCTGGAGAAATCGCCCGTCTGCTTGATTTGTGTTGCTGGGCTGCTCCATGGAACCGCAGCCCCAGAGCTGACCCTGGTCTCCAAAGCATCCAGCCCTCGGATCAGCCCCCAGGGACTGTGCCATCATAGAGCAGGTTTTGGCTCAGAGCTCTTGTAACCCTTCGCAATGACGCCCGGTTCCAGAGACGCTGCCAAGGTGGCTTAGGCACCGAACTGACATGGGGAAAGCCGGGACGTGTGTTTTTGAACTGGGTTTGAATGGCCACCTGCTCCTTTCCCTCTGGGAGCTGGGAACGCAGAGTCAGCCCAGCAGGGATCGACAGACGAGGGGTCTACCCCTATACTGCCACCGAGGCCACACCAGGACGTGGCAGCCGCCTCCTGGAGCAGAGAGCTGAGCCTGCAACCCTTGCTAGGTGGCTTAGCACTTCCTCTTTCAACCAGTGTGGCTAATGGCCTGGAGGTCACTCCAGAGCACCCCTTGGGGTCAGACTTGGCACTGCTGGCGAGCCCCTGCCTCAGTTTCCCCCCACCCAGGGTATAAACAAGTCCAAGCAGGCCCTTCTAGTAGTAAAGTGCACCCTCTTCCCAATGACCTTGTTTATTTCCCCAAAATGGCAAGAAAACAAAAGCTTCGGGAGCTCTCTCCCACTGGTTGGACCAGTCCTGTCTCACCCCCCAGCCCCGGAGCACTCTGGCGCTGAATTCCCTGCCCTGGGGCTTGGCCTCTGCTGAGCGTTGAGCTGGTTGTCAGTCTACCCCAGACAAATGCTGCTCTTTCCTGAGCCCATCCTGTTAGTGCCAAAGGATGTCTCGCACCCAGTTCATTCTCTTGGCCTGCTCCAGTCCCTGGCCTGGCACCTCCGTATTCTGGGCCTGTTCTTGTCTGCCAGGGAGCTCCCACTGGGAACAATTGTGGCTTCAAACCTGAGCCCTCCTAAGCTTCTGTTAGGACCGGGCGCTCCTTCTCTATGTCGGCACGGAGCGGCGGGACAATCTGGTTTGGCTCAGCCTCCTTAGTGGAGCCAGGCCTAGGTTGGCTTGTGTGCCTGTCTCTCTTTCCCCCCCCCCCGTCCACCTATAAATGACCCAGGAAGGTGGGTTCTAGCTCATGCACAGCTGAGTCTGCCCTTAAGTTGAGCTGTTTCAGTTGGGTCATGACTCTTGTCTTTCTGCCAGCCGTGCTGGTGTAAGCCCCTGGCGTGAGCACATTGGTGTCATTGATGGAGCTTGTGCCAGATGTAGGCAGCAGACGCCGTCAGAGTAAGTTCTACCAGCAAAGGTGCAGTTTTGCTGGAACCCCCAATGCCTGCCACGCCCCCTCCCCTAGCCCTGCACCCGGGTCGTGGCTGCTCTAAGACCACCGTGCCGGGCTCTGCACGGCCCTCCCACTGCTCAGCCAACTGCTCTTCCATGTCTGGGCGGAGGCCTCGCCCCTGCCCAGCGCTGGTTGCCTGAGAGGTGCGCCAGGACACGCCTCTCCCAACAGCCATGGTGGGAGGGGAGGCGCTGGGTGGTGTACCCTGGCCCCCAGAGCCTCCGTGGCCCAGCAGCTAGGCCAGGCCGGGCTGCGGTCCAGTGGTTGGCAACCGCTGGTCTAGAGCAGAGCTTCTCAAACCTTTTTCCATGACCCAGTTGAAGAAAATTGTTGATGCCTGTGACCCAACGTAATCTGAAGAGCATGTGGGCTCTGGGGTGGGGCTGAGGATGAGCTTTGGGGTGCAGGAGGGGGGCTCTGGCTTTGGTGGGGGCAGGAGGGACTGATCTCCACTGGTGCTAAGGCAGCGGTGCCCCAGAAGCAGGTTCCCAGCCAATGGGAGTGTGGAGCTAGCACCCCAGCTCAGCCCTGGCTCCTAGATGGGGAGGGGGAAGTGCTCAAGGCATCGCCCACTGCCCCTAGCCTGAGCACTAGCTCCTCACTCCCGTTGGCTGCGAAACTGCTGCTGGCCGCTTCTGGGAACAGTCAGAACAGGCAAGGAGCTTCCTTAGTCCCGTCCCTCCCCCTCCCCGCCCCCTCCCCACACACTGGTCGCCTGATCCCCCTGCAGCAGTGAGACCCAGGAGCCTGACATTCCACCTCCCAGTGCTGGGTCACGACCTGTAGTTTGAAAGCTGCTGGTCTAGAATCAAAAGAGAAACAAAGGAGTTGGTTTGGTAACTTCTTTCAGTTTAGAGTCAGCAGAGAGACTGCTGCAACCGGCTTCCTTGCGCTCCTGCTGTATCAGGACCTCGTAACTATTACAGGCTTAAAACCTCCCGAGTAAAACATGCGCTTTTTCCCCCCGAGGCCTGAACATTCAGGATGATCTTCTGCCCTTCTGCATAGTGCCGGCCAGAGAACCGACCCCATGAAATGAAAGGAGTCTCCTTAAAATCTGAATAGTGATAGAAATGTAGCCGTGTTAGTCTGGTGTAGCTGAAACAAAAGACAGGACTATGTCGCACTTTAAAGGACTATGTCTGGCCCACGAAAGCTCATCATCTAATAAACCATCTTGTTAGTCTTTAAAGTGCGACATAGTCTGGTATTTTGTAAAATCCGCATGTTCTGATGCTGATCAGGGATGCCTTGCTAACCTACAGACACTGACCTCTGGATCCATGAGCCCTTTTAGTCCTGTCGCACTAGAAACGTGCTCCGTGTTTCACATCAATGTGCATAGAGCAGGGTTCCTGCCCCAAAGCAGAGCTGGGACCCAGGGTAGCTCTACTGCCCCCGCCTGCAACAATGCCTGGAGGTTGTGACTCGCCCCTGCCCCAAAGCGGAGCTGGGACCCAGGGTAGCTCTAATGCCTCCGCCTGCAACAATGCCTGGAGGTTGTGACTCGTGATCACAATTTCCTCTCTGCAAGAGGAATCTAAACCAGTAACGAACGCCAAGTTCCCTTTACCCACGTTTCATGTGTTGCATGAAAGCAACCGATCAGGGTTACGGTTGGGTTCCGTCCAGCGCCTCACTCTGTCACAACTGACTCTGGCGGAACTGAAAGCTTGTAATGAGAGAGGAAACGAGCCCCTAGAATGTACTGCTTCGGTACTTCATCATGGGTTTCAGTTCTTAGCTTCCCCGGTGCACATCAGAGCAGTGAAGTGGAAAGGTAGATGGCTGGCTTGCCGGGAAGCCTTTTCAGTAATAGACCGCATTAATTTAGTTATAAGAAAGGGGCCCCTTGGGCATGAATTTGCCGTCTAACTCTGCCAGGCCAATGCAGTTGGAGTGAATAAGCTGCTACATGCTGCTGGACTCCTGAGGTATAGGTACGGACTCCACAGGTGCTCCAGAGCTGCAGCACCCACAGGAAAAAAAATTGTGGGTGCTCAGCACCCGGTGACAGGCAGCGCTGCCAAACAGCTGATGGGCAGGTTGGGGAGGGTGGCGAGTGACAGGCAGGCAGGGGCCCCAGGGAGGAGGCTGAGGAGGGGCGGAGCCTTGGGTGAAGCAAGGGCGGGGCATTGGGGCGGACCGAGGTTGGAGCACCCCGGGGGCCGACTGGAGACGCCGACGCTTGAGGGTTCTCCGCAATTCGTGGTTCACCGAAGTCTTGTCCGGGTTGAAGGAGTTTGCCTCCCGCGTGTTTGGGATGGACTTGCTGCTCCTGGAAAAGAGAGGAGCTGATGGCGCGGGCAGGGACTGGTTGTGCTAATGACACGCCCCCATGCCACCTGCCAGGTGGTGCCTGGCCAGGGCCCCCGAGTCCTGAGCTGCAGCACCCATTGCTGCCCCAGCCCCTCGCTCTCCATGCTGAGCGCTGCCCCCTCTCCCCTCCTGAGGGCACTGACACGCCAGGGCGGCTTTACGGTACAGGCAACACCCCCTGCAAGCGGGTAATTCCGACGCTGTACCACTTCGAATGCCAGAGGAGGCAAGAATTCGGCAGCAGAAAGTGTTGCTCCAGGCTGCCCAGGGGGCTGAAGGCCAGTGTACGGCATTGCCGTCTGGGAGAGCAAGGGTTAATAGCTAGTGCTCTTTCCAACTGGTAGATCTTGGAGCCTCTGACAGGGGATCCTGACCCGTTTGGCTGGGAAGCTACCAAGCGCTGGCTCTTCAGTTGCCGCTTCCCCCACTCTCATGCTGCTCCTGCCCTCTGCCTTGCAGCTGCTCCCCTGGGAGCTGCCTGCTCGCTGTGCAGAGTGTGGGAAGGAGAAGGGGGGGGGGGTTGCTGATGTCAGAGTGCCCCCCCCCCCATTCCTGTACCCGGTCTCCATACAGAGAGAAGGGGATGGAGGGAGGTTGGCAATGCAAATCTCTGTCACTCTCGCACACTGTGTGTGTCACACACACACACACTGTCCTGCACTCCTCTCCCGACCCAACACGTACGTGGGGGGTCGTTACTCCTTTTACTGCTTGCAAAGTGGGTTAGTTTGGGGGTTTGACTGGTCTGTGCATTTCATCGTGTTCATTTCTCTCTTACGCTTACATG